TATTTATTGTAAAATATGATATCAATTATAGTTTTGCCTACATAAAAAAGTAAAATTAAAAAAAAAAAGTCTAATTTTTCTTCTTCGAAATATATTATTTATTAGAGACTTGTGTTTATATATATATATTCATGTGCATCTCTAGATACCTGATATAATTTAGATTATTTTGATATGGTAGTGATAAATTATTCGTGATAACGAATTCGTAAAGAAATATGTAAGTAATTAAAATCTATTGTAAGCTATCATATAATATAGAAAAAATTAAAAATGAGATTTACGTTTTGCTTTGGAATAATGAGAGCGTGCACAACAAGATTGATTCGTACAATAAAAAGATTTATGGATTTAATGAGTGCCGCAGAAAATTAGATATTCCAAAATTAACATTGAGAAGACACTTTAGAAATATGATTAAAAGGCCTTCATCATCTATAAAGAAAATCAGTGTTAAAACAAGTAAAAGAAAGAAGAACTCTTAAAGACTCAATTGATACTATAGAAAATGTCACTATTTCTGTTGATGAAGAAGACTAATTTTATTTCCTTCGCATGAGAGCACAAATTGAAGATGTGAAGATTCAGTATATTAGTATTTGAATGCAAACTATGGGTTCACGAAAATTCTACAGGAGTATTAAAGAATAAAGAACAAATATATTTTTGTCCCAAATACAAATCTTATTAATTCAATTATTCATAATAATATTTTTATGTTACAATTCTTTCCTTCAGCTGTTTTCTTTCATTTTAATATGTGCCCGTATATTTATATTGCGTATCAATTATTTTATTGGTTTTATTTTCTAAAGTTACAATGTGTTTTATTTACTTTTATTTACTTTGATTTCATTATTTTTTTAGAAGATTGCGGCTGGAATCATTAATATAAATCATTTATAACCTTTTTTAACTGTTAATTAATAACAGAAAATTTATAATTTGTTACTGTATCTTTATTATTTGATTACTAATTAATTTTATTTTCATTTGTGGCACGCACACATGCATGCACATGCATTACATATGCATTACACCCAGTGTATCACGATCACGGTTATAATGAGATAAGATAATTTCGAAAGTAATTAAAACAAGTAATCAAATTGACAAACAAGGATTTCCGTTTTCACATGAAAAATACTCTATATTCTTTATTAAATGATTAGTACATAAATGAGAAAATAACATAAATTACGTATTAATCTTTAATTAATTATTTTATTTATATTTTATTTAAATTAAATAAAATTTTAAATCGGCCAACAGCAACGGAATATGTAAAAATTAAATTCCACTAAATTGTTTAATAATATAAGTATAATGTTGATTACTCCATTTTCTATAATAAATAATTCTAATAATTATTTTTATCTCTCATTATGTAATTATCTTCTCGCTACAATGTTTATATAATCCAATACATAGTACTTAATACATACTGGAATAAAATTTAATTTTCTTATTATTTTTATATTATCTTTTGATGGGTTTCATTTATCCTGCCGTCTTTCATTTATCCTGCCATTTTATTATATTATATAAAGTTGTTAATATTTTTAGTGAACAAAATAAAAAGTTCTATTCTAAATCTGATAAATGCAAAATAGGGGAACATAAACCGTGCTAAAGTGACTTTATCTCGTCGCAGTGCATATTTATTTCTGAACACGATACACCGAAGACAAATTTATGTGTGTGTATAAATTTGATAAATAAATGGTTTGCAGCACGGGACATAATAAAATATCTAATGTACATCGTTGAAATTGGAAAAAATTCAGTGTAATGTGAATAAAATTGATGGTTGGTGTTATATAACGCGGGATTAATGGTCGTCCGTCTCGTAATTGACGGTCGTGATGTATAATAGACATTTCTATTGTTACCATCGCTACCGCTTATTTTTCAATGTCAATAAATTTTTTCCACGCGAATCGGGAGATCTTTCGGCACATCTTTCACGAGCGCTGTTCCCGCAGTGTTTTGTAATCGACGCAAAAATATGCTCGTCGAAACTTTAAAATTAACTAAAATTAACACTCCTTGCTTTCAAAATGGACTAATAATTTAAAGAACCGATATCCGCGAGATGATAAGATAGATGTGCAATTTACTCTCTTAAAAACAAAATCAATATCACTAATAAATAACTATAAGTATAGCAGTTGTGTAAATATACACATTCGGAAGAAATGAAAGAATTCTCAGCAATTCTCAGATTTAAGTGTTCAAAATCTAATCAAAATTTTGCATTTAAGATTAAAAGTTTTATAAAATTGTAAGAACAAAAATAATATAAAAATTTTGACAAATGCCATTATGTCGGATAAAACATTGTATGTTAACACTGTTTTGTCAATTTTAATATTAATTTAATAATAATACAATATAGAATAAAATATAACTATCAGAATAAGTAAAAAATGTGATTCTATAGACTTGACTTGATATAATAACATTTTCTATCGGCCACAATCAGTGAGATAAAATACAAGAGTAGAAGACAAATGTTCATGCTAAAAATAAATAAAATATTTTATTGTTTTAGGTAGTGAAATTTTTATTGATTATCCAATTTAAATTGTATTTATATTTTATGTTGATATAACGTATAAATACTTATTTCGTATACAAATGATATTACAGAGAATCAATTTTTGCATGGCGAAACTGCATGCCGGAAATGGCACCCACCGAGAACACCCAGAGAAACGTACGGAGGAGGGAGTTACTTAGATAATTTGGACTTTTGAGCGAAAGCGACAGCAACAACAAACCGCCGTCATCGCTGTCGCTCGAATCCGTGGCCGGATACGCCAGTCTTCTTCGAGTACGGCGACGTTCCGACATTCGATGGATCAGCGCAAATAAACCTGCTGCCTTGGCGGAGAAAAATATTTAGTTCGTTAGGTCGAATTCGTGCCGATGGGTTATTTGACGGCATTACCGTCGTAAACGAGAGAGAAAGAGAAAAGTCTCCACGCGCGCGAGTTCTTTGTATCTTTTTCCATTTTCTGGCACATCCTCACCCCCCCCCCTATTTCCGTTAGGCTCAAAGTGACGTAACAATGAAATGAGTACAACAATTTCAATCAATTTAGTGGTATCGCACTTAATTGAATGTAAGCATTGTAAAATCAATTATAATAATTGATTCGATTACAGGCTTGTTATTAGGGCATGTTCGTCATTCTGTCATCGTTCGAGACAACAGAAAACCAACAGTGGAAAAGAAATGGATTACTTTTTTTTCGAACAATACAATTTCCAGAAAAAATAATCAGATAATACTTTCGATTAATGAGCAAATTAAATATCTGGATGGTATTAAAGTTTTTCCTCTAAAATATTAATAAATGAAATAAAAAAAATATCAATAAAGTTAAATGACAATGCAAATTGCGTAACGAGATTTATTTTCAAAATCCGTACGAAGCAAATTCTTATTAAAATGTCTAAGTTTCATCAACGTTTCTAAACGTTATGTACCTATATTAATTTCGCACTTATTTTATTAATCTCGGAAAATTAACTGACAGGACAAAACAAGTTTTACAATTAAGTGTAAATTTAGATATAAAGCTTCTATTTATACTTTCAAGACTTTAAATCAGCAAAAGCCGCTTACTCGATGTTACATAAAGCCGTAAAATCACAGTTTTACCCGCTATCGAGGGAGACTTCGGGGCGATGATTTTCCCGCATGTCGATTATTACATCACAGCTACAAATCTGTTATTACGAAATAGATCGACTGACAATAGTCACCGTAGCAGAAGATGTCGATTAATGCCACATATCCGTCTTGTCGCGCTAGAATTTAGACTCCTCCGCGAGTTTTTTCGCTCGAGCGAATATCTCGCATGCGTCTTTTTTGCATAGGCCAGTATACGCAACGTGAGAGTGACGTGCGTGAGTGCGTGCACATGTATGCGTGTGTGTGTGTGTGTGTGTGTGTGTGTGTGTTCGTGTGCCGCTTCGCGCGTCATTCGTATATATTTCGGATAAAAATACTCAGACTTTCTCGCGACCCTGTTGTCTCCTTCTCCAATCTTTGCCTTTCT